GCTTCCCCCACACCTGGAATTAATGTGGACGTGTGAATGAATCAGGTTCAGTTCAGGCAAATGGCGTCTATCTAAGGGATCTCCTCCAGTGTCATTGCATTAAACAAAAAAGCACCCCACTTCCAGGACATTAGGGTGTCTTCCCCATGTGAACTTTGTGGTACCTGAGGAAAGGCATTTGGCTGGTAGCTTTCTCATATTCAACACATTTATAAGGCCCTACTCTAGTGTAAAATCTGGTGTTGAATAAGGCCAGAGCTTTTGCTAAGATTTTCCACACTAATGATCCTCTAAGGCCTTTCTCCAGTGTGAACTCTCCTATGGTCACTGAATTTGGAGTTCACATTTGCTGCACTCCTAGGGCCTTTCTTCAGTATGAACTGTGTGGTGATTAAGGAATGCAGACCTTTGGCTAAAGGATTTCCCACATTCACTGTACCCATAAGACCTTTCTCCAGTGTGAACTCTCAGGTGTAGAATAAGGCTGCAGTACTGACTAAAGGATTTCCTATGTTCACTGCACTGATAAGGCCTTCATCCAGTGTGAATGTTCTGGTGGTTTAGAACACTGGAGTTGTAGGTAAAGAATTTCCCACACTCATAAGGCCTTATAGTATTCCAGTGTGAATACTATGTGGTTGCAGGAGTGCAGAGCTCTGGCTAAAGAATTTCCCACATTCACTACACTTAAAAGCCTTTGTCCAGTGTGAATTCTGTGATGTTAGATCAGGTTGGATCTTTGGATAAAGATTTCCCACATTCCCCACACTCAAAAGGCCTCTCTCCAGGGTGAACTTTCCAATGGTTATTGAGGCTGTAGCTCTGGCTAAAGGATTTACTGCATTCACAGCACTTATAAGGCCTTTCTCCAGTGTGAACTCTCCAATGTTGAAAGAGGTTAGAGCTTTGGCTAAAGGACTTGCCACACTCTGAGCACTTACAAGGTCTTTCTCCAGTGTGTACTCTGGTGTTTAATGAGACTGGAGCTGTGGGTAAAGGATTCCCCATACTCTCTGCACATGTAACATCCTTCTCTAGTGAGGGCTCTCTAATGCTGAACAAATGTGTGTTTGGGGATGAACACTTCATCACATTCTTCCCAGTTACAATGAGCTTTCCCCTGCGAGAGGCAGCTCATTTAAAATTTTTTTTTAAAAATTTGTTCTAATTACTTATACATGACGATAGAATGTATTGCTATTTTACTTTTCCACAGGAAGAAGAAGACTGTTGATGGAGAAATTCCAAGCTTGTTGGAAATCACTTCCAACGTCTCTGCATATAAAGGCCTTTCTGGTTCATGGAATTTACAGCTCTTCACAAATGAGGTTCTGCCCATATCACTTCTGAATGGCTTCTCTCCAGTATGCTGATTCTTGTGCTGATAATTTGTACTGAAATAGAATTGTTTCTCACATGCTCAACACATGCACATTTTCTGTTTGTGGTGTGTGTGCTTCCTTATGCTCAGCCAAGTGAAGGGTGACTTTTAAGATAAGGCCACCCATCTCACAGAGCTTGGTCTCTTGGAGAGATAGAACTGACTTGGGAGTCATAATCTGGGACACTCCCTCTTACAGAAACACTCTGCTCAGAAATTGCCTCCTCATCCTCTATTCCACACTATCAACCTGTTCAGGAAGCCTAACAGCATTCCTCAAGCAAGAAACCCTGTCCATGTCCCCCTCACCCTGTCCTGCACCGACATGGGATCCTGCGGGAAGAGGCGGGCCTTGGAAGAACGCATCTCCCAAGCGGCTCCCCAAGCCCCAGAGCCCCAGGGACTGTCCGGGTCTGCCTGGGTGCTCTTGTCACTGCGCTGGCCGCCGGCGCCTGGGACTCAGGGAAGGGAAGCCGCCTCCAGGTGCCTTTGTTCTAATTAGTTATACATGATAGAATGTACTTTGACACATCATACATAAATGTAGTATAATTTCTCATTCTTTTGGTTGTACATGATGTAGAATCACAGCAGCCATGTAGTCATAGGGTGATAATGTCCGATTAATTCATTTTTTAAAATTCTCTTTAGTTACATACAACATCAGGATACATCCTGACATTATCACAAATGTATGGAACTCAACCTGCTGCAATTCAATCCCCAGCCCTTCTCCCCCACCACCCTACTTCCCTTCCTTTCACTTCACCTCTTTCTCGTCAAACCATTTACAGTTTACTGTTGTTTTTTTTTTAATTAATTTGTGTCCTATGGATACACCTGATGCTGAGACTCACCATGCCATATCTATGCAAGCTCATACGAAAGTTGGGATGAGCAGGATATTTTTTGAGTCAAATTTTGAGCCCTGTATGATGTGAATTCGACAGTTGATTTCTGAGTTTTCCAGGAAAGACTACATAGCACATAAATTTTGGATGTAGACAGGTTTCTTCTGGAATTCAGGAAAAGGACTAAGACCTGTGCTCTAGGTGATGAGAAGCCAAATTAGAGTCCACTGTACAAACCAAGAGGATAACTGACAGGTGCTTTACATTTTAAAATTTTTTATTATTTTTTTAAATTAATAGAACCCAGTTACATTCCTAACTCTTTAAAAATTTTTTTCTTTTGTTTTATTTGAGACTTGGTCTTGCTACCTTCACTGGCCTTGAACTTGTGATCCTTCTGCCTCATTCTCCCGAGTTGCTAGGATCATAGGCATGTGCTACTGCACCGTGGCCAGCTGCAATGCATTCTTATCATGCAGGGAATGGCCTGTTGGCAGAAGCCAGACCTCTGTACAGGCAGTGTGGATGATGTGAGGAGCCCCCATACTGGTCCCAAGATGAAGAGCCAGGCAGGGTGCAGGGAAGCACAGAAGCATTGCCCAGCCCGGGCACTCATAGTAGACAGTTGATCATCTCTGCTCCTAGTATCTATTTTTATCTCCCTGCCCTATTCCTGAGAACCTTATCCAATACTTCTCTACTTTTCAGACATACATGACTATCTTTTTTTTTTAATCAAAACTTGCTCTCAAAACAGGATATGAAGTGACCAGCATAATTTAAATGACCACACCCTAAGATGTATTTGCATTTTTTTTTTAATATTTATTTTTCAGTTTTCAGTGGACACAACATCTTTGTTTGTATGTGGTGCTGAGGATCGAACCCAGGCCGCACGCATGCCAGGCAAGCGCGCAACCGCTTGAGCCACATCCCCAGCCCTGTATTTGCATTTTTAACAAGGAATGGCACATTGAGCAAAAATTTTGAGGGAATTTTCAGAGTGGAATTTTGGGCATTAACAAAAGAGGAGAATGAGTTATGTTCATGTACTAGTATGTAACAACAAGTCCCACCACCTTATAATTATAATATACCAATATAAATATAGAGAAAAAAGAAGGAGTATGCTATCTTAATAAGTTGACTGTGTCTGATAACTGATCTCCTTCCTGCCACAGTTCCAAGAGAAGGAGGTGCCTTTCTTTTAAACAGCCATAGATGAGGGCAAGAGAGATTCTAAGCAGATATACTATCAGGTTGGAAACTTCATTAAGTATTTACATGAAAATTCAGGTTCCCATTGCTCAGGTATGGTCACATGGCTCAGAGAGCACAAGAAGCAGAACCAGGAGGTTGGATCTGAGAAACTTCCGAAGGTCTGGTGCAGTGACTTCTCTACTGCAGGTCAGGAGTCCTGGGACTGAGACGTGGTTGGGGAGGGGTTGCAGGGCCCAGTGGAAGGAAGGAAGGAAGGAAGGAAGGAAGGAAGGAAGGAAGGTAGGAAGGAAGGAAGGGAGGGAGGGAGGGAGGGAGAAGAGGAGTTGCCACAAGGTGAGGTCATTAGGGTGAGCAGGAAAGAAGAGTCTTCTAATTTCTGAGCGTTTAAATTTTCAGGAAGAGAGAGAGGGGAAACACATTATACTCCTGTCTCTGGAGAATCAGATGGCAGGGGTATGGGAGGGTGGTCAATGAATCTACTCATTTGTGGGAGAATGTCAATTCTGGTGCAGGAGACCCAACATTGACCTCTCTAGACCTGTACCAATGTCTGACATCTGGGAGGGAGCAGAAAAAGCCCTAGGTGGACCTTGTGGACAAGAGGATGTGTCTTCCTCAACTGAGGATTATAGGGTTGGCTGGTGGGGAGGGAGTGGAACATAGTGGAATGTTGATTGGAGCCTGAAGATGTCAAGGTTACCTGCAGGAGCTGGCGTTCTATGAGACTGTCTTGTGCTATAGAGGGCCTAAGTTCTGCATGCCCTCTCTTCAGAAGACAGGGTTGGCCTGAGCTGGGAAGGCTAGGTATCAAGGTAGTGGATGGGACAGACAACACTTGATGTTTGGGATACTTGAGGGTAGAAGGTAACATATTCATATTCTGTCTCCTGCTCTTTTTAGTCTACCATCTTCGGGATCTAGGAATGGGCGGGGAAAACAGCAGTGTCTCCTAGTACTCAGAGGTCAGCCACTGCCACCTTTTCTCTTTCTACCCATAAACCATGCCAGCACATTTCCATCCTTCTACAGCTGCTGCAAGCAGACACACCATGTGGGCACTAACAGCCCTCTTTCTCCTAGGTAAGTTTTCAAATGAGCACCAGAAGGGCTTTGGGTGGTAGAGAATAGTTTGGGGCAGGATGTGTAGGAAAGGGGAAGTGGCCATTCAATCCTCAGATTTCAAGTGTTCATTATCTATTTTTGGAGAAGAGAAGAGGGAGCTTTTGCAATGCTGGGGTAACTGGGGACAGAAGAAAAACCTGCTTTGAGACCTTTGATCTTTCCTTTGGTCAAGAATCTTTCCTTCGTCTCATCTCCAACACTTCCCCCTTTCCTTCTTTTTTGTTTTGCAGTTCAAAGCAGTGGGCAAGCTGGTGAGTCTGAATGCATCCCTCAACCCAATTTTCTAAAACTTCCACTCCAATCTCCCTAGGTAATCTGCTTGGGTAAACTCCCCACTTTTTGGCTGTTCTGAAATAGTATCTCTTTTCACTCTTCTTTGCAGACTCTAACACTTCTTCAATCCCTGACCAAGTTTGCTTGTAGAAATGGGTGCTGATTGATGAACTGTTGGTTTGTGGCCCAATGAGTGTGGTCTCCCTTCCTGTGGGGTGGGTTAGTATGTGAGCTGGGTCCTGGAAACTAGGGTTTTCTAAAATTTCCCAACCTCAGGACACATCTTTGATGTACCTCACCTTGTTTCTCTTTCCCATGGCGCCCCTTCCCACACATCCCCAGCTACACTGGAGAAGCCCATATTGTCTCTACACCCACCTTGGACCACAATCTTCAAGGGGGAGCGGGTAACCTTGCGATGTGATGGATACCACCCTGTGCTCCTGGAGCTCCGGCCTATCAACACTCTCTGGTATTTGGGCCACCTACTTCTGCCCTCCCATAAGAAGAGCATCGAGGTACAGACACCAGGGGTATATCGGTGCCAGACACGGGGAGCACCTGTCAGTGACCCCATTCATCTCTCTGTATCTAATGGTGAGTGGTCTGAGCAGAGGGGAGAGAGCACATGGACCTCCTCTGGTGATCCTGGCCTTCCTATGGGGGAGCACACTTGTCCATTCCCAAGAGGCAGGAAAAGAGGGTCACACTGAGGACTACTTGAGTCTCTAGAGTAGGCAGGAGTCTGTGCAGTGCTGTGGTAGAGATGAAGTAAGGTTTGCCTGGCTCAAAGTTCCCCTTTAACCTTCTGCCACAGTGTGAAACCAACATTTCTGTTTGTTTCTCAAATCAGATCAGAAGAACAAAAGTTTTGAGGACATAGGATACTGAATGGAGAACTCAGGGGGCTGGGCAGGAAAAAAGTAGATCAAAGCAGGAAAAGTAAGTGTCCCTGCCCCATCTGAGCACAGCAAGAGGAATACTTCTCTGTATATCAGTATTCATATCAGTAATGTAGGGACAATAATAGTGTCTGTCTCTTTGACTGTTGTGATCATTAAAAATGAATTATGAAATATTATTAAAGAAAAAACAGGAACTGAACAGTGCACTTAATCAAAATTTAATTAGAGGCATGTATACACATGCACAAAGGAGTCAACTGAGAAATTGGCTGGAAATACTTGAAGGGTTTCAAAATATGATAAGAAAAGGAATAATAATTTGTTCACTAAGATGCAGGATTGGCCACTTCATAGGGAGTATCATATAAATCTTAGCGTGGTGGGTCACAATTTATATTTAAAATTTAAGGGTGTCACCTAATGTTCAAATTAGCACTTATACTTGAAAACAAGCATATACTGACTACAGCACACAATGGTTTGAAATTCACAGACTGAGAGTGGCACGTGGATTGTGGCTATTACTCGAAGAATTCTAAAATGGCATGTAGTATATGTTAGGGCTATTAAGGGCTATTATATGTTAGCTATGATGCTGATGGTGATTGGATAAATATGTGGTGCTTTGGGAGATACCTAAGGCTGTCCTAGGGTGTCAGGGCAGTGTTCTTCAGGAGATAGGTCTAAATCTAGACACACAGGATAAATAAGACTCAACTGAGATCTGTGAAGGAGGGGCTTCCTGGCTGAGGAAATAGCAGATGCAAAGGCCCTGGGTTCAGAGCACAGCCAGTTTTCTCAGCAGTTCAGTATGGTTGGAAGTTAACTTGTGTTGAGCGAAAGGTGGGGAGGGTAAATAAGAAATGCCACAGAGAAGGAACACTGAAGTGGGTGCTGAGGAAGGAACCAGGGGACCAGGTCAGGAAGGCCCTGAAGTCATTTTAAAGAGTTTAAGCTTAATTCTGATGGGCTAGACCCAAAGAAAGCACATCTTTGCCTCCCTAGTAACCTAAAGAGAAACTGTTTTTTTCTCCTTCCTCCCGACTCTAAGCTTTCTGCTCTATGAAACTGTCACCTGCCAGTTACCCAGCAAGACCAGCCGGTTCAGGAAAGGGGGAAGGAGGTGGTGGGGAGAAAAGGAAAGCAGTTATGGAAGAGAAGCAGGGAAACTGAGAAGAGGAGACCAGCAGGGCTGGATTGACTGTGAGGCAAACCGTATCTGCTTATCCGGTGTAGACTGGCTGATTCTGCAAGTGCCCTATGCTGCGGTGTTCGAGGGCGAACCGCTGGTTATGCGCTGCCGCGGCTGGTACGACAAGGTGGTCTACAAGCTTCACTACTACCACGACGACCAGGCTGTACGCTATTTCCACTCTAGCACCAACTACACAGTGTTGCAGGCGCGTGCGAGCGACAGTGGGCGTTACCAGTGTTCTGGCACCATGCGCATCCCGGTAGAGAGCGCGCCCATGTTCTCCGCCAAGGTGGCTGTGACGGTGCAAGGTAGGCGAGACTTGGGGTCCGGAAACGCCAGGAAATTCTGGGACAGGAACAGTGAGGGGAAAGGTGGAGGCGGAGTTAGAGCAGCTGCTACTGGTGGGTTTCTCAGACCACGGACGATTGAATGGGTGAGAGATCTGCAGCCGGCTTGTAGGCTGGTGTCACTCCCCACTCCCCGCTCCCAGCTTCTTCTGTTAGGGGACCCCACGGTCCTAACCAATAGGCCAGCGGCAGTAGTAGAGGACGCTAAGCTACTGGGACGAGGGCTTAGCTTCCGAGCACCCCGCGTGGCAGGTGCAGCGCTCCCACTTCTAGACTGGAGAATACACGCTGAGTGGCAGTTGGGTGGTGGCCTGAAGCATCTGGTCTGGTCCTAATTCCCTTCAACCTTTTAAGACCCTTCGTAGATTCGGATCCTCTGCCCCACTTTTCAAAAACCTTTCCTCCCTCACTCCACGTGTACACACAGGCTACATTTGGGTCTCGGGGTCCGCTAGGTCCCTGCGCCGGAAAGTGGGAGGGAAGGGGAGGGATGGACAGGTTGACCTTGGTTTCTCCCTTGCCGGGCTCTATCCCTGTCGAAACCCAAAATGCATTTTCCGCCTCTGGGCTGCCCTCTCTGCAGAGCTGTTCCAGACGCCGGTGCTGAGGATTATGCGCCCTCAAGAGATCCGCGGCTCAGCGCACCGCAGAGTGGTCCTGCGCTGCGAGACGCGCCTGCACCCACAGAAGCGCGACACGCCACTGCAGTTCGCCTTCTACAAGTACAGTCGCTCTGTTCGCCGCTTCGACTGGGGCTCTGAGTACATGGTCCCAGAGCCCGAGGTCGAAGAGCTTGAAGCGTACTGGTGCGAGGCGGCTACCGCCACTCGCAGCGTCCGGAAACGAAGCCCGTGGCTGCAACTCCCAGGGCCCGGTGAGTAATCGCCCTCCTTACTGGCACGCCCTCCCACCGCCGGCAGCCCAGTTTTCCCCTCTGCACACTCACGGGTCGCCTTTTCTCCTTCCCCTGTCCGGCCCTTGTCTTCTAATCTCCACATCCTGGTCCTGTTTCTCTCACCCCAGCGCCACCTCTCTACCTTGCCGCTATTCAGGTCCTCGTCGTTCCCCTGCGCCAGCCCCAAGTTTCTCCCCGACCCCTGCGCCCAGGGCTGACGATTTCAGCCTTACATCACTTGGTGTGTCGTGTTCACAGGCTCCCCCCTGGATCAGGCGTCCACCACCGCTCCAGCCCCACAAGCTGCAGCCTTCGCTCCAGGTAACAAGCCGTTCTCCTTCAGAAAGCCCCCAGTGTCCAGATCGGTCCAGTCCGTCACCTCCGTCCCAAACGCCACCTTAGCTGGGCTGCAGTTCCCAGGAGGCAGCGCCCCCACTGTTGGGTCACCCGCCTGCACTCCGCCGACGCTCTTGGAACAATCCGCTGGAGCTCTGAAACCCAATGTAGACCTTTTGCTCCGAGAAATGCAGCTGCTCAAAGGCCTTTTGAGCCGGGTGGTTCTGGAATTGAAGGAGCCACAAGTCCTCCCAGAGTTCAAGGGAACACCCGAAACCCCCACTTCCCACTTTGCTTTGAGCCGGGGAACCCCCGAGACGACTCCAGTGGAGAGCTGAATTAGGGATACCTTCCTCTCTCCAGGTTCATTTTCCCAGATCTCTCCTACTTCCCCTAGCGCGCAGACCTCTCTGAACTATCTCTGCGTCCCTTTGTTTTTTGTTTGTTTGTTTTTGTTTTGCTTTGTTTTGTTTTGCTGTGGTTTTAAAAGACGTCCGTATAAAGTGTGGTGGTTGATGATTTCGACTTCACACAGCAGCTAGTAACCACAAGCATTGTCTTTGATGTGTTCCTTCTCACAGAATTCCGTTTGGGAACATGTTATTTTACTTCATTGTAGTTTCCTTTTGGAGTGAATTTAGTCATCCTTAGCTAATTTTAATTAAGTCTAACATACGTATTTCGGCACAAGTCATTTTTTGGTAATTAAATTCATTGAGGTCACTAAAAAACATTAGAACATTTTGGGATTAAGATGGAATTATTCATAATTATTTTACTTCTCTGTTAATATTAAAGACTTTCAGCCTTATTACTGATGTGTTTATATCTTCAAAGTTATGGGTTCTAATTACTTTTAGAGTGGGAAAGTATTCCATTCCTAAGTTATGAAGGTCGGCGTTCACCTACGCACACCCCTTGCCCTCATGTAGCCACTGATGGGCTCTGGGAGCACCAGGTAGGTGGGCCACACTAATCTTAATGAAAAATTAAACAAGTGGTATCTTTTGCATTGAGACATCTCTTTGAAGAAAGTTTTAAAACAAATCCTCAAAATTGCTGAATCCACATTTTTAGCAGCATTTTTCTTCTTTAAAAACCATTTTAACACTAACACACAGCTATATAAATGTGTTCAGATCTAGATCCCACCCTATGTGGAGACTTTATGAAGGAAGAAAAATGGGAAGTCATCTCAATTACAATTTTAAGAGTTTTCTCACTGAAAGTCTAATTTCCACAGCTCCTCTGTCTACTCTAGCCATGGATTCTCTGCAGAGCTGGTATGACTTGATCTAAAGAGTTCTTATTCTCTTTAGATCCACATCCTTCTTCAATTAAGTTTACCTGTGAAAGCTGAGAACTAATAACAATTGTTTTCCACCATTCTTTACTTGTGTTTTAAAGATTTTCAGTCATATTCCATTTTCCATTTCTTTCTGAATGATTAAAATAACATTCACACTTTTCACCATATTATTCTTAAAATCACTCTTCACCATATTGTTATTACAAAGTCACTGTAATTATCCAGGGAGTCAAGCAGGTGCACACAATTTATAATGCAATGTGATGAATGCTCTGTGAAAATACCACAGGAATTCAGAAAAGGAACTGGACCTTGAAAAAAGAGCAAGAATTCACCAAGAGGAGATGTGAGACAGATTGAGGGGTAGGGCAAATAGGCTGAGAATCCAAAGGCATAAGGGACATGAAAGACTGTTGTGTATTTGTGGACCTACAAATAGCTGGGAGAGGTTAGAGAATTCTGTGTGTTTATGTGTGGGGGATTGTATTTTGGGGGGGGGGGAGGTGGCAGAGACAAATATAGAAAAGTAGGATGGGATCAGAACATGAGTGTCTTGTTTAAAAGTACTTGTTTGATATGTTGGATGGATATTTGGAAGCATTCCTGGTTTGAGAGCCTCAATAAGTACTACTGGAGGAGATGCTAATGTAAAATTAGCTAAGAAGAATCAAATAAACTGATTTCAGTGAATACTTGCTTAATTCTGAGAATGTCCTGGTCTCTAGCTTAGGGATCTGGTCTACAAGTCTCTTTGTATGTCTCGGATTTCCAGACTTCTTTCCTTCCTTTTCTTTTCTTCTTTTCTTGTGATGTTTGGGATCAAACCCAGGGCTTCATGTGTGGTAGAAAACCATCTACCACTGAGCAACATCTCCAGCCCTGACTTCCAGCTCTCTAATCTTAACTTGCCACAACTTTCCTCCCAGGCATCCTTCACTAGCTAACTACCCTCTATTCCAGTACCCATTCTTTTTCACTTTTCTGATTTTTGGTTCCCCTGATGTTTCTGCCATTCCTGGTCTAGAATAGGAAGTGACTAGCATTAGGGCCAAGAAGCTTAGTTAGTAATCATAGTATCTCAGTTCATGTGTGCATGCGCATGCACACACGCGCGCGCACACACACACACACACAAACACAAAAATCAGTTCATCATTTTTAAAGGGAAATAGCCAATTGTAAGAGCTGTTGTGGCAGTTCTTTTGCATTGTACCTCATTAGCAACCACAGCATTCTTGTTCCTGTATTGCAACCCACTGTTACTTAGAACTAGGGATGTGGAAATTGGGGGATATCAAGTATTTTTTTTTGGTGAGAGAATGAAAATAATTCATGACCCAACTGTCTCATGTGGGGGAGGGAAAATTGACATGCTCTATTGACTCCACTGTCTTTGAGAAGGATCAAGACCATTCCCTATGCTATCTGTTAATGATATCCCAGAAAGACCTGCACTAAGGAAACAGTAGCTTTATCCTCCCTCAGCTTCTGTTTGAGGTCCCAACATACGTTTAGGGAAACTGAAAGCTGGCTAGCCCAGGCTGTCCAAAGGAAATCTTAGACTCCATTCCTAAGTGGCAGGGATGACAGCAAAATGTTGGCAATGCCTGGGGAGGAAGCTGATTCTTTCTGGTCCTCCAATCAGTTCTGTATCTCAAACTCAGGCCTCAAACTCCAAATTTGCGGTTGTCCATATCAGATACCAGACATGGAAACCAAAAGTCCTCTATCAAAGATCAAAAGGGATCCAGTCAAGTTCCATTTGAATCTCAGCTTTACTCTTTTTCTGTTCTTCCTAAATCTCAGTTTCTCATCTTGACTCTATGGAAAAGCTTTTTTCCTTTTTGCACTTACAACTTTTTCCTAAGAGATTTAAGTGTAGGTTAAAGTCCAGTTCCCTCTCCTAACATCATACTACACCTAGCCACATTGACCCCTTGCTCTTTTTCCCAACACATCACCATCCCACCATCTTTTGTGCCTCTATGACTTTGAATATACTCTCTCTTTTTTTTTCTTTTTGGGTACTGGAGGTTGAACCTAGGGGCACTGCACCACCGAGTTACATCCCCACCCTCCCACCCCCATCTTTTAAAATTTTAAGATAGGTCTTGCTAATTTGCTGAGACAGGCCTCAGATTTGTGATCCTCCTGTCTATGCCTCCCCAATATCTGGGATTACAGGTATGCACCACCACACCTGGCTGAATATACTTTTGTCCAATGGGAGGGCTGGGAGGCCTTTAGAGTCTAAGCTTTCTCTTCTGCAAAATGAGGTAGATAATAGTAACCTCACAGAGGGAGACAGGCAAATAAACAGATCCTTTTATTACTAGAGTTTTTAGAATAGGGGATGCTTAGGTGCTTATAAGCACAGGGGTGAGGGCACTAAACCTGAAGAGAGGGGTGTATACAGAAATCATTTCCTGGGGAGATGACACCTGCCAGTTACTATTAGTGAAATAAAATAACTTTTGTTATTTTAAATTATGTTGCAATGAACATCTCATGTCTTTATGTACATATCTGAATTGTTGTAGGATAAATTCCTAAAATAGAGTTGCTTTATTAAAGTATATGCGTCTTTAATTAAATGCAATTTAATTAAAGAATATGCATCTTTAATCTTTAATTTTAATTACCATATATCAACAGGATAAACTATGTATAAACTAAAATAAATGTTAGCATATATCACCAGATTATCTCTTAAAGTGACTGTACCAATTTGCACTTCCACTAATTTTGCATGTGAGAGCTAATTTCCCCTGCCATGGTCAAGACAGTGCATAATCATACATTCATTTCTTAATTAAACCCATAAAGCCCTCTTGATTCCTTATCTACTGTTTAGTACTTCTAGTTGAGTCTAGTTGGCATTACTAGCTTTGGGTCATGCAGCACTCTGGTTGAACCATCCCCTCAGACTCAATGTTCCTGCTGGTAATGCTAACAACCTATGCATCTTCTAATTCTTTGTTAGCTGGTCTGCATAGTCAGGAGAAGTTCACTCCTGACTATGCTTCCTTATTAAACATCTGTTTTTTGCTCATTAGAACCCCTTATACCAAGCAAGATCATCCTAGTTCTTCACTGAATTTCCAACATATATTTCCAATATATATATATATATATTTTAATAATCTGGGTAAACTTCCTATCAAAAACCTTTCTACATTCAGATTCTGGCTTTTCTGAATCACTTTTCAACTCAGACTTATCAGTGTCCATCTATGCTCCCTCACCTCTATATCACCACTTTCTGTCATGTTCCACAACTAAACACTCAGGGTCACTCCAGGTGAACTGGGCTTCACAAAATAATCATATAAAAGACAGAGATACCTTTTTCCTTGGGTCCTGTGATGGCTTCACTGACCTTAGGGATCAGAGAGAGAGAGAGAGAGAGAGAGAGAGAAACATGTGCTGTGAACACTTTTATTGAGGAGAAGCCATTCAAATGAGGCAAAGGGTCAGGTTTCAGGGGGCTGAGTCTAGCTTCATGATGTCTGCTGTCAGCAGGTTGACTGACATCTGAGAAGGCCACACCCAAAGGCAAAGCAAGAGAAGGGGACATACAAAGGGCCTTCCCATGGAACATTCTATCCCAAACAGGCAAAGGGGTAGGATTACAAAAGAATAGGTGAGTGTATTACCTATATCACCTATAGGTGCGGATTACAAAAGAATAGGTGACATGCCTACACCTGAAGACACGCCTTCTACTTCCCAGGGGCTGGGACAACGCCAGCCACAAAATGTAATGATTGGTCAAAGCCTCTTGCTTCAGGACTGGAAAGCGTGGGTCATTCAGAGTGGCTTCCCACAACTTTTTATCCTTTGAAGAGCAATGGAAATATAACTATTTATTTGTTTGTTTGCTTGTTTATACATACCAGGGATTAAACCCAGGGGCACTTAACCACTAAGCCATATCCCCAGCCCTTTTTATTTCTTGTTTTGAGATAGGATCTCAATAAATTGCTGAGGCTGGCCTCAAACTTGCAATCCTTTTGCCTCAGCCTCCCAAGTCACTGGGATTACAGGTGTGGGCTACTGTACCCAGTTAAGCACTTCCTTTAAAAAGCCATAAAAACAAAAGTCATAAAAACAAAAGTCATTGTTGATAGGTGTTTATGCTTTACACTTATCTGGAACCTGCTTATATTTGACTTCTGCTTCAGGAATGTGTCTAAATTTGTCTTATTCCCTACTAACCCCACCTGTCTCACAACCAACAACTGCTTCACTAGAAATTTCTTCCAAGCTGCTCACAGTCATTCTGTAAATGTTGATGCTGACACTTTAATGTTCATGAATATGTAAACAGTGAAAACTATGGCAAAATAGCATTTATAAGATGTATCATGATTTCAGAGATGTTAGAACATAGTTGAAAATATGACTTCTAGGAAAGCAAATTTCAAATTGTCTAGAAATAAAAAGTTATGCGTGGTTTTACACATTCTTTAGAAAGGGGCTAGAGGTGGTCATCTTTCAAGATG